ACTTTTCGCATTCAAAGTTTTTGCAACCTTCATGGACTGTCTTTTGGTGCCTGATCAAGAAACTTTGATCACAGAATGTCTTCTCACCATTATTGCATGTGTAATCTTGGGTACCATTGTGTATTCCCTTTTGATGTCTAATCAAATTTTTAAGAGTTCCAAACTTTTTATCACACTTGTCACATGCGTAATCTTTCCGACCTTCATGTATGATCTTTTGGTGAAGGAGCATATTAGCTTTTTGTCCGAATTTTTTTTCGCACTTGTCACATGCGTAACCTCTGCGACCCTCATGGACTGTTTGTTGGTGTCGAGTCAAATCACTTTGTTTTCCAAATTTCTTACCACAATCGTCACATAAGTAATCTTTGAAGACTTTGGAGGACTTTGGAAGACTTTGGAAGACTTTTTTCTGACCATCGTGTACTGTCTTTATATGCACGAGCAAACTATGTTTATTTCCAAATCTTTTTGCACATTTTTCACATAAGAAATCTTTGAAAACTTCATGGAATATTTTTTTGTGCTTGAGTAAAGTTGATTTATTTTCAAATTTCTTTTCACACTTGTTGCAAGTGAAACCTTCAGGATCTTTGTGAGCCAATTTCTGATGCGTAAACAAATTCGATTTTTTCACAAATTTTTTCTCACACATGTCGCATGCAAAATCTTTTCGTTTATTGTGAATTGAGTCTCGGTGTACCATCATGCTTGATTCCAGTGTAAATTCCTCCTGACAAATATCATCAATGTTTTGTTTGTTGCTTGAAACAACAATGTCTTGTTCACTTAAATTATCTTTTGAGTCGATTTCCTCGGAGTTCTTCTCTTTTTTATCCATTTTGGTGTCTGAATTAAACCATGGATCCTTCTGTTAAGTGTGACAGAAAATCAATGAGTCAAATTGATCTTTTGGTGTTCTGTCTTGTTTCGTCAGGAAAGACAACCGTAAATAACCGTTTTAACAAAGTTATATTCCTTCATCTATGTGATCGATTATAAAATTATTAAAATTTTCCATGGACATTGTATTTATTTTTTTGTAGTTGTAATGTGTACATTTTTTATTGATCTTAATTTTGGCAAAAAAATTGCATTATTTTAAATTACATGAATTTAAAATTTCACTTATATTATTGATGTGACACGATTATAACGGTGGCTGTCTTCATCAAAGATGCTATTCTTTGCAACGCGACGTTTTTACGAGCAAAGAGATATCATAACCATTATGTACGACAGACCTGTTTTGTCTGATTTCATTGCTAGCATCATTTATTAATTGGTTTGGAAAGCAAATTATGACTAGAGGCAAGGGTATTATAGTTTGAAAAATGAAAATTTCAGTCCTGCTACATAATTGTCAGAATATATTTGATTTCATTACTATCATAGCTAGAAGCCGTTCAATTGCAAATTGAAATTAGACTTTTCCAAATTGAGAAAAAAATTAGGAGTTGGACTGGAATTTTAAGGATAAGACTGTCACACTTGCACTTATCTAATCTTTTGAACAAAAGTATTGCCGTGATTTTAAATAATTTTAAGTTAACCTTAGTAGTCTAGCTTCAATTTCCGAAGTATGTTAGTTTGACTGTGTTATCGAGTATTTCAAAAATTGCATTTTAGATTTTCAAAGTTTATTTCAACAGTTTTAAAATAGACGTTTAAATTGAACATTTATTGAAGAAAATGACTTGACACCTGCTAGTCAAATTTGAGATGAAGAAAATCGAAACTTTTGATTTGCTATGTCAAAGTAAAATTATCACTCTAAACAAATTATGATTCTTTGCATTATTGATATTTGGACTTTATTTCCAAATTTCGAGAGCCATCAGCAAGAGTATTCTAAGTCCCTCGGGTCACTTCGGGTTATCGATAAATCGAGACTTTCTTGAGAAAGTCATATATCGCCGAGTTCAAATTTAGAGCGTTGTCTACTGCTATACGTAGCTTTACTAAGGAATCCATATCCATTATCAGAATTAGGATATCTATTGTCAAATTTAAATGAGAGTGAAAATTAGTTTTCGCGGGATGCGAAAAACTCAATTGCGATGTATATGGGGAAGCGTACGCCGCAGCTCTCTCTGCCACACTTGCCAGAGCGAGCGCGAAACGCGCTCCTCGATAAAACGCAAGCACGTACAAACTAAAAACACGAGTGGTAGTACATATTAGTTGTATATGCGTGTATTTTTTCCTGCTCCGCGTACGAATCGGCTGAGCTCCGCGCGCAGCGAGAGGAAATTAAATTTTTTATTTCGTTAAGAGCCTCGGCGCGAGGCGAACATTACCATTTTCACTCGACGCACGAGCTCTCTCTCTCTCTCTCTCTCGTGTGCGTGAGAGATACACGAGCCGCCCGGGCAGCGTTAGAGATATATACATAAGCGACCAAATGAAAGAATAATTTTATTGTACGCAGCTTGTTAATGTACAATTGGCCGTTTCTGCCGTTTTCTCGCGCGCCACGGCTACGCGGTGGAGGCCGCAGAGATCTAATTAAAAACTCATAGGCGTCTTGTTAGAGAAAAAAGATAGAGCGAGGGTAAAGAGCACGAAGCGAGCGAGCGAGAAAATTTTCCAACGCTTTAAAATAAGAAGCGAAACTCGCAATTAAATCGGACGAAACTCGGCTGTATAATAATAATATATAACCCTCGTCGAGATAAAAAGAGAGAGAGAGAGAGAAATGAACGCAGCAGCAGCAAAGCTGCAGGCTTTTTTCAGCCTTCCCCCCTTGTTATAAGCTCGGGTCCTATATAATATATAACGCGTTCGAGCTAGTTGATAATAATGAGCGGAAAATTTGACCCTTCGATATCGAGCACCACTGCTGCATAAAGTACTACGTTGCACGACGCAATTATGTAATATACGACGCGCTCGGCGGTACACAGACAATTTTATTTTATTTTTGTTCAAGACTTTTATCTCGCGCATCGAAGAGCGTCCTTTCTCGTATATTATACTCCTTTCTTCTACTTTTTATGATTTTTTTTTCCCCTCTCTCTGTCTCTCTCGTTTTTTTTTTTTTTTTTTTTACGAACGACACGAATCCCGCGCCGTGCCAGTGGCTACGTGTAGTAGTCGTAGCAGTAGCTTGGAGTAACCAACGAAATTAGGGCTTTCATTCGTTTTCCCTTTACGGCTTGTACGTGCAGGGTACGGAGCGAAGCAGCGCGTACTACGTTGTACAAGAGAGAGAGAAAAAAGAAAGAAGGTCTTTTGAACTTTTTACAACGAATTCGAAGCCGTTTTTCTCTTACGCGTACAACATATATACCGTCTTCCTTTTTTTCTTACTCTGTCTTTTTCTCTCTGTTCTTTGCGTTTACTTTTCGGATTTTCTAAGTAATTGCTTCATCTAATTAAGCGTCATCAATCTTCCACCCCCTTCCCTCGAGATAAGGTTCTAATGCGAATTTTCAATTCTAGCTGCTGTATACATACCTTCTGCTGCTAAAAGATTAAAGCCGATGTTAGTTCGATGAAGCAAACTTTTCTTTTACATTATCGATGATGTCCGCTTTTTACAATGAACGACGACGACGACGACGACGCAGGCAAGATAAAAACGTCAAGGCATAATATCTCAGCTTTAAATCGAGTTTTCAATTTATCGGGATTAGGAAAATTCAATAATACATAAATCCGTTCGAACGGTTGACGCGATTTAAAATCAATCGTAGCTAGACTCCTTGTACGCACACGCAGCGGCCATAAAAATGAAACCATTAAACCGATAGACGGTCACGATCGGCGATAACTGTAGCGAGTTTTATAACGCTGCGAAAAAAAAAGAAAACGAAAAAAAAAAAGAAAAGGATCGGTGCACCGCCGACTATGACCGAGCACCGATAGGCGTAAAATCTGCACGACGCTTGCCGCGTGTGTTGTACCACCTACGCGCGCAACATCGGTCAGTAAGTGACCGACGGTAGATGCGCGAGCTTCCCTCGCGCTTCACCGCTGCTGGGGTAGCGCGAGACGTGTACCGTGTACTGCTCTCACTGCGATCCTGCATCCTCGTGGATGGATCAGTGAGAGATCCTGTACTGTGCATGAAAAAAAAACTCCGCCATCTCGAGGCAAGCCTCGGAAGCTAAATCACCGGCTGCCGCGTCTGCTGGAGGGGGTTGGGGTCGAGGGGGTTCGTAGCTCCCAGCCCCCCGAAATACCGAGCAGTGTACCAACGACACCCTTGGCCCGCGCTATAGCTCGCCTCCTGCGTGTACGTGTGTGCCTGCGTTCGAGCGTATATCTGTGTCCGCGCACGCGTGTGTCATCATCGCGCGACGCTGCTCATGGTGGTGGTGGTGGTGGCGGTGGCGGTGTCGGCGGCTGCGGCAGCTATCTTCTTCCTGGCTGATATCGTCTGTGTAAACCCATTCCTCGTTACACTTCCTGGCCGAAAAGAAAATTGTTTCCTCTCGTCGATTAGCCAAGAATAACCGATCGACCTGCGTGTGTTCGCCATATTTTGAAGAAAAAAAAACCCGGTGACTTTCAGTTATATCAAGTGACTCAAGTGAATTAGGATGACACCGTACGCAAGGGGGTGCCTCTGGTGTACGAGTTAACGCATATACGCGCGCACACAGTCGAGGGGTGGGAGACAACGACGGTGCGCGGCACGTGCCCGACAGCGAGCGAGAGAAAGAGAGCATCGAGAGTCCTTTTAATCAGAGCGTCGTGTGTCGGGTGTGTGTGTTTGTGTAAGTCTATATAGCAAAATGGCCGTGATTTCGCGTCAACGACTCCTGCGCTGCTAGAGAGGCTCTATAAAGCGCTCAAAAGCCTAATACCACCGGTACGTATAAGGCCGTGCTAATTAAGCGTACTCGTGCGCGCGTGTATGCGTGCTCGCACACGGCGGAATATAAAATAATATAGTGCCGGCGTTTCGACGGGGCAGCAGACGCAACCACGACGACAACGACTCGTGATTTCCCGAAACAATATCATGGAGCTGGCGTGACGTTATAATAGGCGCTGGAAGAGGCGCGCCTGTGGACACCGCTCGGGAGAACGAGAGGGTGTGAGGGAGGGTGAGAAGTCGAGCTACGAGCGATACGAGTAAGTGATACTAGTATGTGAGCTTGTTACGATCGCTTTAAGTATTTTACTGTGACTTGATATTTATTTGAAATCAGTTATTTTATCCAAGATTTATTCTTATACCTAAGGTATTTATTAGTATTTTTGTCATTATTAATGTATAACATCATTATTTTTTTTATATTTACTCAAAGAAAATCACGTAGCTTTACTTATCTTTTTTTTTACCCTCGCCCAACCAGTACTTATGTGACTTTATTCTTTCGCGCAGCCCAAAACCTCCCCTCATTTACTATCGTATGAAATTATAAAGACTTTTGTGTGGTGGACGAGATGAAAACGAGACATGTACGCGCCATATGGCTCGGATCTCTCTCTCTTGAGTAAATCGTTTTCGAAGCACCCCGCAAATGTTACACTGTATACACTTGTGCGGGTAGAGAAAAACGATGATTATAATGGTTATATTATATGTTACGTGCTTCGCGCCGACGTGCAGCGACACAAAATGTAATCTGTTGCAACGAAGAGATTTTTCATGATCTCGTAGGGGACGCGTTGTTGTCAACTGCTTACGAAGAGTTCTCTGCGCAATTTTTATCTTTTTGATGGGAGCTGCGAAGCCTAACATGCACTGTGCCAATGCTCCGTTGCATAATTCGACAAAAATTTTGTTGACTTATAATACAATATTTTAACTTTGCCACTTTCAGATTTAAAGATAAAGGTATATTCGCCATCTAGCGGTAAAATGTTAAAGTGGTATTAACGTGTTTAAAGTGGTTGAAAACTGGCTAAAATTGTTTAGATCTTTCGATTCAATTGCCTTCTCAGGTCATTTGCAATGCATTAAATAATTCAACATAATCTTTACAGAAAAATCGCACAGAAAAGTGAAAATTGATTGTAATATATTTAAAAACATTTTAAATGATATTTTTTGGTCATTCGGGCATTATTAAAGTTGAGAATTTCTACCAGGATAATAGTGTGCACAGTGTAATGTTTCGTAATGTTTGTTTCAGATAGCTAAACATTAATTTTGAAATCCTTTCAAAACTTACTCTTTTCCTACATCTAAGTATAATACATAAATTAGCCCGGTTTTAAATCAATTGCACCTCGCCCAATCAATCGATTCAGCTGATTACGGTAACTAAATGCGCTGTCGCAATATAACTCCGTCGCCTATCCATCTCTTAGACTTAGGCATTTATTCGGTGCAATTATAATCGTCAGCTAGTCTGTTGACAATGATCCTGGTTCGTGTCATTATTTTCCCTAATCAAAATTTAAACGTCGAATTCCTAGTTAAAAAACTAATTAAAAAATATACCTTCATAATGCACTAATCGTACCAAGTACTAATTCAGGGTATTTTTTTTGTCGAAAGGTGTAAACAGCGAGGCGAGCGCACTTCACCAACGTAAATAAGCTGTTAAGCTCTCTTTCTCTCTCTCCCATCGCTCGAGCAAAACAAGCATCATCGAGGAAAGAAACAATCACCGACCAGATCGAGTAAACAAGAAAGAATAGCCGAGCTATATATAAAACAGCAGCAACAACAACTAAAAAAGCTCGAGAATGAGATCGTACGACGGCGAGAGTAGCTCGTGCGAGGAAGACGATAGGAGAGAGGCAATGGCCGAGGCCCACTTGCAGCCGCAGCCGCAGCAGCAACAGGGCCCGTGGCAGCGCTCGGCCTCCCATGCGACCTGGGCGTGGGAGCATCGCAATACCGTAAGATATACTCTTTTGCACTGCCACTACGACTATACCTCAGCTAGATAGTCTGCTTCGAGGTAGAGAGAGAGACACTATATAGTAATCTTTTATCCCGCGCTACTCGCGATCGTTATGTTTTTTTTTTCATTTGCGAGAGCAGTTGCGGCGATTACTTATAATATACAGGGTGCGACAAAAGTATGGAAACCCCTGGAAATATCGCAGAATATTCGTTAAAAAAAAATCAAAGACCCTATATCCGACGTATTTTTCGATGAGGAATCCGATGGTGACCTTGAATTTGACCTTGAACATAACCTCAAAGCTGCAGCGACTCAAAAATCAATTTTTCAAATGTAACCCCCATTTTTTATTGCAGATTTGAAAAGAGCGGAAAATTTCACGTTAAAATGTATGTTTTGTTTTTTTTTAAGACCATTTTTAGGGGCGCTACAGTTAGAAAATGAAGTTATTCCGAGCTTAATTTTAGGTTAAATTGGGGTTTTATTTGAGCTTGTAGCACCCTTAAAATGGTCTTTAAAAAAAAAACAAAACACTCATTTTGACGTGAAATTTTCCGGTCTTTTCAAATCTGCAATAAAAAATGGGGGTTACATTTGAAAAATTGATTTTTGAGTCGCTGCAGCTTTGAGGTTATGTTCAAGGTCAAATCCAAGGTCACCATCGGATTCCTCGTCGAAAAATACGTCGGATATAGGGTCTTTGATTTTTTTTTAACGAATATTCTGCGATATTTCCAGGGGTTTCCATACTTTTGTCGCACCCTGTATACGTATACACAGCGGAAATATATAACGTAATGACTGCTCTAAGATTCTGCGCAGATAATATATTACAGTGGGTGCGTCCACAGTAGCCATGTAAGCCGGGTTTCCTAGCATGGCTAGAGCTACGATACAAATAAAACCAAGTAATACGGTTATTGCAAACTGCTTATTTAAATTACTTTTTTTAATTTTACCCGGCTCGAAAATGTGCATGGTGCCCGGTGTTCTCCTACTCGCACTCATTTACAATATTGTTTTTTAGAACGCATTCCAGTTTAGTGATAACCTGGGCTTTTAACTGATTCGCACCTCGGGTACGAACCGATTAAAATAGGTTTTAATCCTGAGCCTTGGTGTACAACCAGGTTTTTAACTAGATTTCATCTTACATTTAATCTATTTTTACCACCATCGGTTACTCACCAGCTTTATAACCGGGTTTTAAACAGTTTTATATGATTTTTTACATCTGAGTATCGGCCAACATTCTATCGGGTTAAAGCTCGATTATTCACTGGTTTCTAACCAAGATTTTTACCTGGATTAAATTCGGGTTTTGAGCTGGATTGAACTTGGATTTTTACCAGGATTAATCCTAGATTTTTAACCCGGATTAACCCTGGATTTATAACCCGCATTTTTAATCCTGGATTTATAACCCGGATTTTTAATCCTGGATTTTTAACCCGGATTATACATCCGATTAATCCTGGACTTTTAATCCTGGATTTATAACCCGGATTATACATCCGATTAATCCTGGATTTACAACCATTATACATCCGATTAATCCTGGATTTTTAACTCGGATTTTTAACCCGGATCTCCAAACCGGATTATGACCCGGATTTTTAACCTGGATTTTCAACCCGGATTTTCAACCTGGATTTTTAACCCGGATTTTTAACCCGGATTTTAAACCTGGATTGTTAACCTGGATTGTTAACCCGGATTTTCAACCCGGATATTAAACCTGGATTGTTAACCCGGATTTTCAACCCGGATTTTTAACCTGGATTGTTAACCCGGATTTTTAACCTGGATTTTTAACCTGGATTTTTAACCCGGATTTTCAACCTGGATTTTTAACCCGGATTATAACCCGGATTAATCCTGGATTTATAACCCGGATTTCGACCCGGATTTTTACCCTCATTGAACCTGAATTTTGACCGGGTTTAATCCAGGTTTAAACCGGCTTCAATCCAGGTTTAATCCGGGTTTAATCCGGGATAATACATAGAATACGTATATGCGTATACGTCGCGAGATTCTACGCAGTATCATGCATGTTTTCAAATCTGATGTTCAACAATGCATTCATGTATACGTGTCTATGAGTGTGTGTCTTCTTAAGGGAAGTCGACATTTTTATCATGTTATATTAACATACAACGAACGATAACCGTACAATGCACTAATTTAATTAATAAAAATGTACTTTCGAAGCTACAATTGAAAGTTAAAGAAAATAATTAAAGTACGAGTCATTTTTTTTTTTGAAAATGTGATTTCCAATGAAATAGAAAAGTAAAAAAAACAAATTAACGACAAATTAAAAATTGAAAAAATCAGAAAAAAATCAGCTGTTTAAGAACAGCTGCAAGATGTGAAACATCTTCATCTATTAATTAAAGGAATGAAAATTCAGAGACAAATAAAATTTAAAAATCACTGCTCAATCGAAACAAAACAAATTTTTTAAAAGAAGAGGAAAATACCTTTATTTTCTTTTTAAAGTTAGCTCAATTAATAATTGAAGGTAAAAAAAACAGTAAAATCGATGGCTTAGACTTGCATCTGGACTATAGAAATTTGTTAATCAAAATCGTACATACATCATCGTAAAGTACTCCTTCAACGGGTAATGAAAAAAAAATAGAGCTCTCTACGATAATTTTTGCGCCCTGTTAATCAGCCTTCGAAGAGGCGCATTTTTTAACGTATTTTTTTCGATTTTCCGTCTAAAACTTTTTGCTACGTATAAGTACAAGTCTTAAACTTCCATTTTGGCATCGAACGGACTCGATATTGTTGTTAAAAATAGGGAAATAGCCTAGGTCCGAGGGAGAGCTTTTTCAGACAAGTGACTGTTTCTCGAAAACTATTAGTCCAATCTTAACTTTTAAAAGTTCCTTTTTTTGTCGCGAAATGACTTACATTTTGATGTATTGTAAGTTCCAATTGAACTGCAATTGTTTATAATAAATGCAATAAAAAATGGACATTTTAGACGGTTTTTTGCACTTTTCTCGGTAAATAAATAACGTAATTGATCGTGGTTAGGCTCAAATTAAAGGTCTAATTACAAGCTACAACTTTTAATTGAACTTTTTTTTTATTGCTGTTCATGGAAAAGCTACAAGGACGAGCATGTGATTTTTCTACCCTTCTAACCATCCCTCTACCTCAACCACCACTCGAAAACTTACGCACCTAAGAGTGCTTGTACTTATCGAGACCAACAAATCCCATACGGTCCGGTGCTGTCCCTAAGTTTGCCAAACCCTAATAGTATACTTCTAGTCGCGTCAAACTCGAAAAATAAAGTTACATATAAGCCTAGTCAAAGCCAAGATGAAAACTGTTTACAACTAAAGTTAAATACGGTGAAAAACCAGTAGAAAACCGCGTTTTAACCGGGTTTAATCCAGGTTTGATCCAGGTCTAATCCGGGTTTAATCCAGGTTTAATCCAGGTTTAA